CCTATAAGGCCCTGAATAGACAGGCTCCTGTATATCTGCCCGACCTCCTGCAGCCTCATGTGCCCATCAGATTGTTTAGATTTAATGATCAGTTGCTTTTATCTGTCCCAAGGTCCAGGCTGGTCCACAGAGGTGAGTGAAACATTTTTAGTTGTTGCTCGTAAACTGTGGAATCAGTTGCCATTTTATTTTAGGTAGACCTCAACTCTTGGAGTTTTTATCCTAAAACACGTTTTGCACAGGCTTTCAATGCTGCGTAAGAGTTAACTTTTTTGGTACCATTTAATGATTTTATTTTATGTGTTTATTCTTTTCATGTTTACTGATGTAATTTGTTGCCTCTGTGTGATGCACTTGGTCAACAGCAGTTGTTCTAGAATGTGCTGTATAAATAAATTTGATCTGATTTAATACATTTATACATGGTAAAATAGCCAACTGCTTCAGTGGCCCAAGCACATTAAATGTAGAAACTGGGTGCCCTAAATATTTCTAACCACATCTAACTTAAGATACAAGATTGTAGTTTTCATTTTACACTTTGTGTAAAATGATTAATATCAGTAAATAGTTGTGTTAAAAATGCTAGTATATGTTCTTACAAATCAAAACTTTCATCCATCAGTACACGGTACATCTAACCAGAAGGAAAGCCCTTGAATATTTTAGGACCTCTGATAAATCAAAAAGAATTTCCAGTCAAACCAGTTCAAAAAGCAATATTCTTGTTTTCTCTGTTTTGATGAAATTCATGAACTTGTTTTCACTTTTGTGAGAAAAACTTTAGACTCTGAGGTGCCATGTTTTCTTTCCTCCCTGTTGTAACTCAGCTTTTGGCAAACTACACAGTCAAGATTGATTACATAGCAGCCTGAGAGAATGATGAATATGTCTGCAAAGTGAGATGAGTGGGGGAACGCAAATGAAGGTATACTGAAAGATGGTAGATGAAAAAAAAAACACACAATGAAACAATGCATAAACACACAAAAGTCGAAAAGAAATCTATAGTTAATAGACAGACCTAACGGTGCTTCCAGGAGCTGCCTCTATGGTCCAAACACAATTCAGGTTGTGTTCATATGGAGCTGGGTAGCCCGGAGACAAGATTCGACCGGAGGGCTCGTCCTTGATGGTCCCCCCACATTCAGCTTAAGAAGTGGAAACAAACAGAAAGAGAGAGAATGTGGACAGCGGTTTAAAGCTTGACACAAAAAAGAAACGCATCCAAGCTGACACATTTCTTTCCACTTCCAGAACAGTGTGTCTAGTCCATTTGTTTCCATTATCATTACATACAGACATAACTCTCAGTATAATAAACGTGATGCACTATGACAGCTTTTTCTCCCTCTCTCTCCACATTTTGAGTGAAGAAAAGCAGAGCAAATATGTGTGCATTTATATACATGTATTGGGCTAAAAAAAGAAGAAAAAAAAAAAAAAAACAGCATATCATAACCCTGATCATATCTTGTTTTGGAAAGCTGGTTGATCTGCTGAATGACTAAATTTCTATTTAGCAAACTGAAATTCAAGCCAACTTTAGAACATGACCTTATAAATAATACTGTAAAAATACTTTGGTATCTATCTAAAATACATTAGCATGTATACTGTACAGTATGCACAGAACAGAAGTGTGTCACAGCAAATAGAAAATAGAGATCAGCTGTAGCATTTTAATCAGTCAACTAACCATTCAGTTAACCAAACATGTCATCAAAACAGCTAAAAAACTGGCTGGAAAAGGACAATATTTTCCCACATGCAGCTTTGAATGATACATTGCCTTTAAACATGCTCTTTGACTGGAATGCAGTTGTCAGTCTCTCTTCTGCCTCCACTTTAAGTGCGGGATGGGGAGCAAAATAAAAGCAATTTTTTTCCAGAATCAACTGTTTTCCTTCACAACTTTAAGATTTTTTACATTACGCATTATTTCACACTGATTTTTTTCCCCCAATAATAGAGTTTTTTTAGACGTTTTTTTTAAATTTAATTCCAGAAATTTTTATTAGCATGCAGCTCCAGCAATACCTGGCTGTAGCTGCAACCACCACACGACATGCTCACACACACAACAAAACATACCTACTGACTGAAAAAGCATGCCCTTGTCCACTACAAAACACACACACTTTATTTTGCTATGGTACATGGGTTTGGATTAGCCTTAGTGTGAGGGGTATGTGTTGTGTACTGGCTGGGGCTGCAGCTAGTCCCTTCTCTGCAGGTTTGCCATGTTTGTGACCATTAAGAAAACTAATGGATGTGCAAGGATCAACCAATGAGCATGCAGGATGCTCACTGACAGAGTAATGCTACTGAAAAGTATTTATCTATTATTTATCCATAAACAGTCCACATACTGAAGCAGCAGTGCAACAGTGAAATAATGGTTTCTCCGTTTACTGTAGATTTACATTTTTGATAGTTTTTTTTTTTTCCTGAAGTAAAAACACTAGACAAACGCAATGGCATATATATATA